CGCCACCAGTACAGCATGAATCTGCACCTTGGCTGAAACCTGAACTCTGTCCTCAAGACAGGACAGCTGCAGCCTCTTGGCCTGGGAAAGGAGCTCCTTGTAAATCAGGTCCTGGGCCCACCCAGAGCCAGCGACGGCATCACCATTTGCCCTTTGGCTAGGACCAGCCTTGCCCTGTCTCCTGCCCAGTGCTCTCTGCCCCCCATTGGCAGCACAGGTACAGTCCGTGCTCTGTCATCTCCTAGGACCTCTCACCCAGCCCCTCTGTCTACCCTAGTTCATGGCCAGGTGGCTCGGGTATGGACAGGGGCGGGGGGGGGGCTGAGGCAGGGGCTAACTTCCCTCTTGGGGGCAGGTGCCCTCACCACTAGGCTCTTAAAAGGCAGCACGTGAGAGAGATCCAGGAGGGCCCAGGCCATATGCCCAGTACCAGATGGGGGAACAGGCAATGTGACGAGGTTTGTCAGGCAGCGCATCCTGTATGCCTGAGACGGGCACACACCATACAGTGGACCCCAGCCAGCTGGTCAGCCAAACCTCCAGTGGCAACGTCAGGGCACAGTGGGACGTGCAGCATCAGGCAGGAAATGTGGGAGTCATACAGGGAAGGCAATGGCTGAGGGGTCCCAGGGGAAGTGAGGTGGAGGGGGGAATCAAACACTCCAGCGAAGCAAAGGGGAAGGGAAAATGCATTCTCTGCTAGGGGAAGAGAGCACAGCAGTGGCTGAGAAGCAGCTTGTGGGACTTGCCTGGGAGATGCGTGGAGAGTGCTGGACACGGGAAGGCATCTTGGCAGCAAGGCTCAATAGAACAGCCATGATGCCTCCAACTCACTTGGGACAAGACCATGAAGCACCGGGTCTGTAGCCTGAGGCAGGAGTGGACACAGCCTCCAGACTCAAGCAGTCCCTGACAAGGGCCAGGCAGCAGAGGACTTTGTGCACAGAGGATAAGAGGCTTTCCCCTCACATTGGAGCATCACGGATGAGTTGCTCAAAGCCCAGCCCCTGCGCCAACATGAGCTGCCATGCCCACCTGTTCTCCCTCTCCCAAGCCAAGTGATCCCACTGGCCAGCCCCCTGGCCCTCCCTAGCCCCCCAGCCTCAAGTGTCAGGAAACACCATCTCTCTGGCAGGCCCGTGTTCCCTGGTAGCCAAGGGCCTCCCTTGCAGCACACACCCGCTTGGTGTGTCTACCAGCATCTCCACCCTGCTGGCCTCCCAAAACGTGCTGCTTCACCCCCATCTCTCGGCCCAAGGGAGGAGTCAGGAGTTCGCAGTGGGTGCACTGGAGAACCAGGGAGCATCATCCCCACTTGAACCACTGGTGATAACCCAGAGGAGTGCCGTTCAGCTTTTCTCCCCCCCGGGCCAGGGCCAGGGCCAGGGCCAGCTGAGTGGTGTGAAGCCAGTTTGTGGGCCAGATCACTCTGCACCCCAGGACTGGGTCTGCACATCTGGACCCGGACTCTAATCCACATGCTGAGACAATACTCTCCCAGCCCAGCCTCCCCTGCTGGGGTTGGGGCCCCAGATCATGCACCACCATCTCCATCCATTCGTGCATACCAGGATCATGGCTCTGGGATGCTGTGCTACCTCTGCCAGGCTCCATGCACTGGGATCAGGGCTCTTGGGCCCCACACCACCTCTGCTTGGCCCAGCCCCACGTGCCAGGATCAGGCCTTGTGCTGCCCTGAGCACCAGATCTAAAGCACAGGGCCATGGCCCATAGGGCTCCCCACAGACCTGCAGGGAGCCCCAGGGGATGGATGACAAGGAGACAGGAACTGGATCTAGTCTATGGGCTAGGGGTTGAACACCCCTGACTTAGGGAGATCAATGGAAGCCAAGTTACTGGCTTCCCTCCCTCACCCCATCTACAAGGCCTTCCTGCAACAATCCGGTCAGATCCCCACACCTTAGTTAAGTCCAGAATATCGCCCGCGGTTGCCCCAGCTCCCAGGGCCCCACCCCAGCGGGTGCCCAGAGCAGTATCTCTGCTCTCCCACTGAGCTGAGGCCTCAAGCCTCCCCTGTGCACGAGACTGCAGCAAAACTTCTGGACCCAGCACCCTCCTCCTGTTACCCCAGCACCACCCGTCATCAGCCTTCTGCCCCAGTGCCACATCTCCCTCCACAACCCAGCTGAGTCCTGCTTCCTACCTGGGCGCCTTTCCTGGCTGCAGCCAAGTTTCGGCCCAGTCCCGTCATGTGATGTGGGGCCCTGCAGCCAGGCCAGGTCAAGCCACTCTATTGCCCTGGCCTATTGACCGACTCCCTGGTATCTACTGCAAACAGCTGTAAAGCAGCAAATCTCCCACCTCCTGCTGGACTTTGAGACTTGGGTTTCTGGTAATCTTCATGCAGTGGATTCAACCCTGTGGCAGCTTGTGGCTGCTGCTGCTGCATCTCAGCCCATGATCACAGAGCAGCATGGAGGCAGCGTGGCCAGGCTGGCAGGACATCTGAGGTGAAGACGCTATGGTGGAAAATGCAAACCCTGTGCTGAGAGCCAAAGGGAGATGGAGGGCGCACAGCTGGGTTTGCCTGGCAGTGGAAGGGCAGGCTGTGGCACATGGTGCTCTGCCACCATTCTTCCCCTACCCTTCGGCCATGTGCAGGAGCCAGACTCCATGTAACCCAAGGTGTCTGAGCACTCCTGCCCTGGGCTCAGGAGAGCTGAGTCCAGCCAGCTCCAGCATGGTGCCCCCGGGCTGAAGAAGGGTAGCAGCAGGCCAGCGGCAGGAGAATCCAGGTCTGGTAGAGGCAGGGCTGAGCAGCATGCTGTGTGCAAAGGACCGTTCTGGGAAACATGCACGGCAAATGGGGCTCTCTGGAGCATGCTGTGCCACCTTGGGAGCTCAGTGCTCCAGCCTGGGGCCTGGGGTTTCCTGGGAAATGAAGTCCTGAAGAACCCCCATTTCACAAAATCAGCAGGCTAGTCAAAGCCCCCAAACCCCATCCCTCAGCACTGATCCAAGCTGTGGCCAGAGCCCTCACTGCTCCTTTGGGAGGTGACAGTAAAAACAAGGTTAAAGCAGAATTTGGCCCTCAGGAATGGTGGCTCTTGACTGGCCGTGGGTTGGGGGTACCCGGGGTGGGGCACCAGGGTGGATGCAGAGGAGAGTTGGCTGAGCCCTACCCAAGCACTTCTAGCACCCAGCTCGAGGGTTCAGGTAAGCTAAATCTTTTCATGCTGGAAGGTCACCAGGCCTCACAGGGCAACCTCAGCTCAGCATTAGCAAAGGATTTGGGCATTTCATGAAGAGGGAAGCTTTTATTTACTTCCAAACAATGTCCAAAAGATTCTTGTTAGCGGTGTTAGACACTTGCATTGGGCAGACCGTTAACATGTGGGGTGAAGCTTTGGGGAATTGTATTGTTTTGCTTTCATGAGTTTATTACTGTAAGCTGCCCTGCACCTTTCTGGTGAGGGCTGTAGAAATGGTATAGATAAATGAATACTCTTGTTGGCTCAGTGCAGGTTGCCTCATGCTGCCTGTGCCCTTCCAGAAGACAGGCAGCAGCTCAATGCATCTCTCTAGAAACTCCCAAGTGAAGAATTGAAATGCATCCTCCACACCGTGCCAGACCATCCCTGCAGCTCTCAAGCACGAGGGACCAAGTGGAGGCTGGTCCCCAGGATGCCTTCACTGAGGCACTGCAATACCTGGGACAGGACTGTCCAACTTCTAAAGGCCCATGGCTACATGCCCCAGAGCCACACCAGCAGGAACAATGGGCCCTCAGGCTGCCTGCCAAACAGGCAAGTGCTCCTCCACCCACCGCCCCACACAGCGTGGCACTTTGCCTCGCCTGCAGGCTCCCATGGGACGGTGCCACACGGACACACTGGGCTGCCAGCCCTCCTGGCACCGCAGGCTGTGCTGCGGGCTGGGCCAGGCAGTGGAAGGGGAGCCCCAAGCTGCTACTGCAGCCAGAGCAAGGGGCAGCAGTGGCCTGCCTGTTAACCCCTTGTGGGCCACATGTGGCCAGTTGGATAGCCCCAGCCTATAAGTTAGGTGCTTTACCCCAGGCAGCAATCCCAAAAGTCAGGGTTCTGTGCCTAGGGTCCCCGTATAGTCTATAAGGAACCTGAAGCATTTCCAGAGCAATTCAGGGACAGCATCTCCACTTCCCACACAGAGTAGGAAGTTATTCCCTTGCAGGGTGGCTCAGCGGGACTAGAGGCCCCTAGCAGTAATCAACAGGAAAAACCACACACAGGAGGTCGTCTGAGCTGCTGCTCTTCCTGTAGCACAGATGTCTGCCTCAGGATCCAGGACCTTAACTGACCAGAGTGTCTTGAAGCTAACACTGAGCAGCATCCTGCAAGGACGTTACAGTACCATGAGGTGCCACGGCTCTCTAGCCGAGACTCTCTGCTCTGACGTAAGGTGCATAATATTGCTGGACTCGCTGCCCGTGAGGAATGACCTTGTCACTAATGCTCCATCCTGCCTGCTTTCTTGTCCCACCGCCCTTGAATTTCTGGCTCTTCTATAGTCATTTCAAAGTGGGAGCTGGAAGGTCTTCCCCAGGCTCTCCTACAGCCCAGAACGTACAGCTATCTCTGGGAGGTGGGCAACTGGACTCTGAATCCCTTGTGGCTGGGGAGGTCATATTAAATGATTCTAAATATTTCCCTTAGTCTTACAACGGTATTCTGACCCCTGCTATTGAGCTGTGAAGCCAGGGCCCTAGGCCACCTCTTGTGGCAGACTACAGTTCCATCATACACTCGCACACCTTTTCTAAAGTCACGTTACTCCCCCCACACACTCCAATCACCCCCAATGGCTCAACCCAGCACATTACATGGTGGTTATCACTGCCAGGGAAGCCCAGCTGGGAGCAGCAGTGGTTCTGATTCCCAAGGGACAGGGCATCTATGGACCTCTGAGTCTCACACTCATCTTGTCAATAAAACGAGTTTCATGAAACAACTCAGAAACTTTTATTTGAAAAGTTACTACAAAATCAGTCGCAAGCTGGCACAGAGGCACTGGGCAGGTGCATGTGTGCAGCACCCCTTCAGCAGTAGCCAAGGGACTACAAAGAAGGGGTGATGCATTTTAAGGCTATCACAAGGCACTAGGTTTCACACAGATCTTCCCTAGAGAAATATCATGCACAGACAACTGCGTGTAAGCCCCCCCTGGGGATAAAGATAAGGGAGCTAAGCACGGGCACCTCCAGAAGTGGAAGCTGTGCTTCTCTTCTCTGAACTGCTTGGCCTTGGCAGGACCTTTTCCATCTGGCCAGAACTACTTTCCCCACCCCCCCTTCGTTTCACATGCAGACTGCCCCTTCTCCCTCCTGTCCCTCAGGGGCATCCCTGGGCTTTACAGATTCCGCAGTCAGAAGGCCACCGACACCTGGTAGATGTCAGTCACACAACCAAATGCATATGTGAAAGGCACGTGGTACTATGAAGGTGGCCACAACGAAAGGATCCGGGTAAGAAGCGGCTCGGGCCTGGATCACATTCTGATGGTAGTATTGCACTGACAGATCTCTCTGCAACAATGGTCCCATCTATCAGCCTGCCTGCGTTTGTCCCCTGTTCACAGGGACAAGCTGGAACTGTTCAGTATGGTCTCAACCAGGTGAGAACAGGCATCAAACGTCATACCTGGGCACATCAGGGATGGATGCGCTTGCAGGCAGGCCCTGTCCACATGGAAACACTGGCAGGAAGAGCAAAGCCTCAGACTCCTCCTGTTCCTTCACTCTCCTCAGAAGCTCACAATGCTCCAGACAGCTAGAGACACCACGAGGGCACCAGGCAGGCCCCCGTGAGAGGCCACACCCCTGCTCAGGGCCACCTTGAAGGGGAAGAAGAAGTCAAATGGGAGTTTCCAGTATGGGGTGGGTTGGCCACGTGGATGCTCTGGCCATTCTGTCAAGTCAATAAAAGTGACGAGAGTTGTCAAAGGCACCACACTCACGTTGAAGGACTGCAGGAGAAAGGAGAGCACCCGCCATTCAGCACCTCTGTTCCACAATCCAGTCTTGCACTCACAAGGCACGTGCATGCCCAGAGCAGGGCCCACCCCCACTCCTCACCCATGCACTGTCATCCTGCAGCCCATGCTGACCTCTTGCTATGCCTCCAGGCTCAGAAGCCCCAGTGCCAGGCTCACAGCCCTTCAACATCCATCCCACCAATCTCAGCAGCACACCATGTCATGATGCTGCTCATGGAGATGCAGGTGCAGAAGCGCCAGAGAAAAGCAGAGGCTGCAGGGACAAGTACAGACATCCTCCATTTCTCTGGCACTGCTGTACAATGCCCCATGGATGACCACAGCCCCTGCCTGCCACTCTTCTGACAGCAGCTCTGGCTGGTAGGGCTGAGGGCCCTTGCTGTCAATGGCAGGTAGGTGTGCTACCAACAAGAGGCACCTCCCAGTGGCAGCAGCTGGCTCCTCCTCCTGCACCCTCTCAGCCCCACTATCCTAGGCAGGAAGCAGAGGATTGAAGTATTCCAAATTTTTAACAGGACAGTGACAACTGATTGGCCCCTTTAGAGTCATTCAGCATTAGAGACATTTCAGAACCAATCAAAAGAAATATTTATTTGTGTAAAATGCAGGCAGCCTATGGGATTCCTGGAAACAAGAGGCTGAACTAAGCTCTGTGGCAAGGTTTAAGAAAGAATAATTCTCTATTTATTTGATTTTGGTAACTATAAAGTTTAATTACAGGGATAAACAGAAGTTTAACTGATGCCACTGTGGCCCGAAACATTGCTCAGGAAGTCTGAAAGAGACCACAGGTAAGCAATTAGTTGGGTACCATCCTGGGCTTTTTCAGCTTCCTGTGTGGAATATAAGATATCAGATACTGGCCACTGACATGGTGAGAGCCACTGGGATCCAGCCCACTAGTACTATAGCTCTACAATCCCCCAATCTCAACTAACCCATCAGTCTAGTGAAACAGCCTTTGGGAGATGGGGTGAATAAAAACTCTATGCTATACCTGTAGGGACCGGCACTGATACGAACACCGTGCTCCCAGCACTTGTGCTTGTGGGTTGGACAAGAGGCCCACCTTTGCCCACAATACCTGGATCTCCAAGGACACGGGAACCACACAGCAGGAAGCACATACTCCAGCCTGGGGGGGAAAAGAGAAACCCACACATTTTCCAAGATTTCAAGGCAAGAAATAACCATTAAGCCCATCTCATCCCCTGCAACATGGGCCCTAGAATCTCACCCAGTAACTTCTGCAGCAAGCCAACACCTGCTTGAACCACGCCATACCTTTTCAAAAGATATCCAGTCTCTAATGTAGGTAATGGAGAATCCACTACGCCTGTAAATTAACTGCTCTGCTTAATGATCGGCACCTTAGTTCTAGTCTGAGTTTGTCTGGCTTCAGTTCTTACACACCAGATCCTGTTATACCTTTTTTGGTTAGACTGAAAACCCTCACATCAGAAATCTCTGTTTAAGTACTTGTGGGTTGTGATGTCTTAACCATAGACAGATTCACTGGATAGAGGAAACTGTCAAGACAGTGACTCAGAAGGATAAAGAATGGTCAGACGCAGCCCAGTGTTAGCAAAGCTATTAAATGCACAGTACTAATGACAAGGAGCTGGGCAGTCTGGGCTCTATTAGAGGCAACCTTAGAGCTACCCAGTGCAACACTGGCTGGAAGATCTGATCCTCTCCTGCCCAGGGATGCTGCTGCCCTGAACTGGGGGTTGGACTAGATCAGGGTGGCCAATCTGTGGCACAGGGAACCTGTGTGTGGTATGCAGCAGATCAGAGTGTAGGCCTCGCTGGAGCTCACACAAAGGTTTTGCAAAAGCATTGGCCAGAGTAGGCCTGATCAAACCTGACAGATGCATGAACTCCTTATATATGCAGAACTTGGCACGTGGGCCAGATATTGGTCAGATGTGCACTCCTGTCAGGAGATAGAAAGGAGAGATGGCTGTACAAGGCATAGAATAGTTCAGTACCAGGATGAAAAGGTTGGAACGGGAACACCCCGACCAGGATGTGGAACAAGTCCATGGTACAGCACGCCTCGAGACAATCAAGATACTGGTGGAATGTAATACACAATTTGTTTGGACCACGGTAAAAAGGAGAAGTGGAAATGACAGGAACTTTGTATTGGGCTAGGGGAGCCTATGTGGTACTGTGCCGATACCTTGTCATGAGCATACATGCATGAATACCTTGTCTGTCAGATCACAAGTGTGTTAGGACCGTGCCTGGTAGATGATAACCCTGGCTGAGGCTCTGTCACTGAACCAAGCCTGTGGTAATTACTGAAGACAAGACAGGTGCTGAGATCTCTTGGCTGCAATTCTTTACTGGCATCGCAGTCCCCGAGACTTCAGCACTAACACCACATCAGTAACACCTGACGAAAACAGCAATGACAACTTAGGGAAGGGACAGGCGGCACAACAGCAAATAGGGCAGACCTCAACCGGTCCCCCTCCAGCCCTACTTTCCTATGATCCTGTGTGTCCATTGGAAACACAAGGCAAAAGAAATTAATTCAGCTAGTTCCTAGCTTGACTAGTCAAAGAGAGACCTCTGAATGATGTGAGCCAAGAGAACCAGAGTCTGTTTGTGTACATTAGGGTCCCTGAAATGATCCTGACAGTGACAGCTGAGCACTGCATCCTATGTCTGACTTCACCAGAGAGCTTCCAACAAAGAGGAATGAGACACGACCTTGTTCTCTCTTCCTCCTCCCCACACCCTCCCATGAAAACTCAATCTTGCACGCCAAGGTTAAGAAGAAGAGTTAAAGACAGAGATGGCTCCCCTGCATTCTTCTTACCTGCATGCTGCAGTTCTTGGTGAGAATGCCAGTCCAGTCTCCGGGCTGGGCTGGATCAGCATTGCCAGTGATGGCCAGGCCCTGTGGGCTGCTCACCTCTTGGAGAGCCTGGTATAACTGGTCCTGGAGGTAACTACAGTTTCCATCCTCCATCCCTTGGGATATGCTGGAAATGGGACCAAGCACCTTTTTTAAAGTAATGACCCCATTTCAAAGTCTCTACTACTTTGGCAATGGTTCCCTGGAGGTGTCAGGGAAGCACCAGTGAAGCCCTCAGCATGAAGCAAACTCATATTGTCCATGAAGTGAGATGGGAAAAATTGAGGGCACCTGGTTGCATTACATGCTGAGAGGCAGTTTAGGTAACCTGCTGTCCCATTAAGAGGGCACTGGGGGAGCTCTATATGCCTTATCACCAGGCACAGAAGGATCCAGATAGCCAGCCCTGTAAGCCACAGAGCACAAATATCATTTCCTAGAGCATTTGATTAACATTCACCCCTTGGATCCAAGCCCTGCACTCCTGCACTGTGCTGTGAAACATGGGTCTAGCACTGGTTGCTCAGAGCCTCCCAAGAGACCCCACCATAAGCAGCTTGAACACTGCTAAGGATGGCACTGTGTTATGGAGGCTTCCCATCTCTGCTGCTACTTGAGCCCTTCAGGCATGCATACAAGACTAATGGAGCCAGCCTGAGGACTTGAGGAAGGAACCACAGGAGCCTTGCACTCTGCCTAGGGGACAGCAAGAAGGTGAATGACCCAAGCTTACAAACCTGTTTGGGAACTGGCAGGGCCAGTGACAGTACATAGTATTACCTGAGCTTACAGCTTGTCCTCACATTCATTCCAAACAGTACTGTGTGTTTGAGTGACTGTGAACATATTCCATCACCCTGGCCCTGTAAAACGGTCACCTGAGGAAAGGGGCTATGCGTCAAGAAGACAAACAGAAGGGAAGATAAGCAACATGGGATATCCATCTAGCCCCCAACAAGATCATCCTGGAGTAAGCAGCAATCTTGCTTGTCATAATAGCAAATCTCTCTCAATGAACACTGAACAACAAATTCACTCTGGTCACCAGTTACACCCCCCAAAAGAGAGTAACCATATCATTATAAATTCATAATCTGTTTCCAGTAGTGCCACAACATGCTTTCCAAATGTGGAAGGATACAGGACGGGTGGTTCATAGCCATAGCTTAGTAAATACAGTAGAACCTAGATCTAGAACCTAGGCCTTGAAACCCCTGTCTTCCACACTGTCCCCACAGGAAAAGGTCTTATAGACCAGGGGCTGCAATGCAACATTCCCAGTTAAGGGCAAAGCCATGGAAGTACAAGGGGTGCTGCCTCACCAGGTGGTAAGAGTGCCAAGTAAAACCTGATGCCAGAAAGGATACATGACGCAGGACACCTTTTTGTAGAGCCAAGAGTGGTGCTCCAGTGATATAGCCAGGGTTTCCACTTCTGGGCAGGGTAGGTGAAGGGGTTCTACTCTGTGAAGAGGCAAAGGGAAGAGGTAAAGCAGGACAGAATGTTACAAATCTGGTGACCAAGCAAGTCAGACTTCCATTCAGTCCAAGTGATCCCATTCATCCATGAGACAAGCAGTGGAAACTGTTCTCATACAAGGGGAGTTCGACCCCATCTAGGCAGGGCTGAATCTGATGAAAATTTATAATCCCCAGAGCTTTATTACATCTTACTGATGGCCCAATTAAACATTGTAAAAATCCCCCCAGAACCGCCTTCCCCACTTAGCCCATCCACAATCCAGGAGCTGGCCAGCCAAGCTGCAGTCGGCCCTGATAGCCCCAGACAGCTCCCAAGGCATCAAGCTCCTGCTGATATGGGAAATGTTACCAACACATTCCCAATCCACACTTCAGTGTTTTCCCTGGGGATGAAATCACTCTCTAGAACTTGCCTGTCCAGGACACTAGACTGAGTCACAGATTCAACTCCCTCACCTATTACACAGTGCCCTGGGGAGGGGTTTCTGAGAAAGACTCCTTCATCTGGATTCTGGATCACTGACCTCAATTTTGCCCCACCTCCCTTGTGGCACACAATCTGCAGGTGGGGCCTCTTCAATCCAAATTCAGACACAGATGTAACATTTCTTCCCCTGCTTGCGCCTTCCCAGGTGAGAACCAGAGAGGCTAAAATAGGCTCAGCACCCTCCAGAGCAATTCCCAGCTCCCAAGTGGGCAGAGGAGAGAAGTGCCTGTGATAGACACCAGCAGCTCTGCCCCTCTCTCCCCAGAATACACCCGAGATCATGATGCTGACACTGGTTTCGTCCTTCTCCGTCCCTGGGAACTCTAGAGGAGCAAGGCACCCAGGCCCTCCAAGCCTGACAAAGACCATGACACCAACCCTGGCTGACCACCCAAACCTTACCTGAGATTAGGCCACTAACCCCCCAACCCCGGAAAAAGTTCACATGTGATTGGGACACTGACCCCTGATCCCCCCCAGCCTGTCATCCAGGGCTCACATGCTACCCTGCCTCTAACTGACCTCCTGACCTGAAGGCTCAAATGAAACTGGAGCATAGACTCACAACCGCAAACCCTGCATACAGCTAGCTACATGAGGTAGAGCACTGACCCAAAAGTGCAATGTGAAGTGCTGCTGCAGAGAGGATCCCCAGGCCTCAGAAATATTGGTCACTTTGAACTGGACAGAAACATTCTGGATTCCATGGGTCCCATTAAACTCGATGTTGTAGATCACCTGAAAGTGCAATATAACAGAGAATAAGAGCCGAGAGAAGGACCTGGGCTGGGTATGTACTTCAGCTCAGCACTGATCTGAAAGTGGGGCTTTCACAGGTACCTCAGAAACAATATTGTGACAGGTACTGCCTTGCATCTGGGGAGCTCCGGGCTGTATGAGAGGGGTGACTTTCACCTGGGGACAACAAAGGTCATTTAAATCAGTACAAAAAGGTAGCCTGCTGCTTCCTCTCTCCAATCCACTTCTCAATCTGAATCCTCTCCTACCCCAACCACAACGGTCTCCCCAATTTACTCCCCACCCTAAGTCTACCCCAGAACCATGGCCAGCCCCCTGCACCAACCCTAACCCCATCTCTTTCTAGCCTGGCTCCAGATCTTTCTTGCATATGCACATAATCTTACAAGTTTTTTGTTACATCAGAGTCCTCTATCAATAGACAATGTGACTCTCTCTCCTCCATAATCTAATCTCAGATACAGAACTACCGTGAATCTATTACCTTGGGTCTGTGACCCAAGGGGCTCACTCTGGATGCCCAGGCTCAGGGTTCCCCTCACTTTAGGTGCAGGAATTAATTCTCAAAGCCTCACCTGCATGGACTGGGTGACAGTCATATTAAGTGGGGTCTGGAAGAGAAAAGCAACAAGTGTGTTGGGTTTGCAAGTGCCACAGGTACAAGTAAGTCATAATCCAGTGCCCAGAAGCCAGTGACAGGCAGTCTTGCCTATTCCAAGACTATGGAACTTTCCACTAACTTGCACTTTAGACTCCAGAAGTGTGCCCCTGTGAACAGGGCACCAAGACACAGACTTTATTCCTGGCTCTGCTAATGACCTGCTGTGTGCACAGCTACATTTATACACAGGCACCATATGCCTGTGCCCAGGCTTCCCACTCCTACAGTCAGGGGATTACATCAGAATCTCAGTTTTCACCTAAGAAAAATTAAGTTTCTGAGCCCCAGGAGGAAATTTGAAACACAAACCAAGCACAGTGGATGCAGTGCCATCTGATACAAAGCAGGAGACACCCTGAAAAAGTACTGCTAAGAATGGGAAAAACAGCCCAACACATCAGTGGGGTCTTAATATTTACACTTTTTATTTACTTTTTAATAAGTTTTGGAGTGTCAGGGACACATCAGAGGACAAGAAGAGCGCTAATGCTGAATAAATATTAAAAAAAAAAAAAAGGATAGCAGATAGCCCAGGTAAGCAGAAGCTAGGGAGCCCAACACCAGTTTTAGAATAAACAATAGAAGAGATGACGTGGGATTCAATCAATGGCAATTAAATATTAGGAATATAAATAATTAATGTCAACTTGGTTTTATGGAGGATAGGTCTCGTCAAACAAATTTTAAATCTCACGCCTTGATGAGATTTAAGTCTGACTCATAAAAGTAACTACATGTAGATGTGTCATCATAGACTTTTGTAAAGCTTCTGATTAGGCAGTGCATGACATTGATTAAAAAGTGAGCAGTACACAATATTACTAAAAGGGCCGCCTAGAAATTGCACACCAGTGAGCTCTGCTGTGGTAACGGGTGAATTAGCCAAGGATAAAATGACAGAACAGTGCAGAAGTCAGGCAGTCACAGCAAGAGGAGGTGCCAAGGCTGGGCAATATGACATGCACCTTTAGCACGGTGAAGTCACGGTAATACGAGGCAGCATCTAGTGCGGGGTCAGTGGTGCAACTGCTACTCAGGTTTGTAAAAGTCCGAGTACAATTTGTGCTTTTGCTCTCCAGGAAACCTTAAAAAAAGTACCAATAGTCATGAAAAAACTGTCAGCAGCCAACAACATCCCAGGAAAATCCCAGACTGCTGTTGCCACCATACTCACCAGCAGGATTGCTGTCAACACAAAGCCTACTGGCTCCCATCCCAACTGGCTGCCTGAGTGTGCTCACTACAGATGAGGCAACAAAGTAGGTCTGGATTGGATCACCCACCTAGAAACAAGATTTGCAGACCTTATAAATACAGTCTTCCAAGAATACCAGGGCCAAATGCAAGATGACAACCATCAGCTCAAGCAAGAAACAAAAACATCACAGCTTCCTTGGGTGTAACACATTATAAAAGTAATGTTCCCAAGATGGTTTTCTGGAATAATTTACAATGCATATGGTTAGTCGGATATGCCATTAAACAACAGCCTGGTTTACTGAACCCCAAATAAGGACTGTGGGGGGAACAGTTAAATGTACATTTTTTTCTATCTTTCTCCCTCCAGCACTGACTCTTGTCACCACTAGGAAACCCAGAGAAAAGTTATGACAGTCTTCTGAGGACTCCTTTAACTTACCCGGTAAAAGGCAGAGGGGGGTGGCATGGGTTGTGATGGTGACACAAAGGATGGGCCACCATACTGCTCCAAAAGCACTGGGAAATTCGATTCTGTAACCTCCTGTGGCTGCTGAAAATAGTTCAGCTTT